ATTTACTTCCAGGTGGCAGACTGTCTGATCTAGAGTACGCAGACGACATTGTGCTACTAAATGAAGATCCAGGTAAGTTGCAAGATTTTCTGAATAGTTTGAGTGCGTGTGTGCCCACGTTCGCTATGCGTTTTGCACCTTCAAAGTGTAAAATGATACTACAAGATTGGGTTGGTCCAGCACCCAGTCTCACCCGAACTGGGAAAGTAGTAGAGGAAGTAGACAAATTTCGCTACCTGGGCAGCTATATCTCACCTGGCAGACGCATCACAGATGAAGTGTCGGCTCGTATATAGACCGCTGGGTTGGCATTTGCCCACTTGAGACATCTGTGGCGCCGTCGCGACATCCGGCTGTCTGTGAAGGGTCGAGTGTATGCTTCAGAAGTTCGGCCAGTCCTGCTCTATGGTGCAGAGACTTGGCCACTAAGGGAACAGGATAAAAGTAGATTATCGGTGTTTGAACACCGCTGTCTACGTCGCATTGCACGTGTCTGGTGGGGTAACCGGATAAATAATGCTGAGGTTAGGAGTAGAGTTTGAGGCAGTCGCGGTCTTCCACTGGAACAGGTAGTCGACCTCCAGAGATTACGCTGGTTGGGACATGTGCTACACATGTCACCAGATAGGTTGCTACCGCGAACGATGTTTGCCAAGGCTGGTAGCGACTGGAAAAAAACGAAGGGTGGTTAAGCTGAGACCTGGCATGAGGATATGAAAACCCTAACCAGGAGACTAAGTCACAGGCCCCGTTAGGCTCCCTGGTTGGGGACCTCGGGACGATGGTCACCGATGGTTAGAGACACTGAGTGATATGGCTGGGTGTCGCAAACAGTAAAGCTCATGCATCTACTCATTGTTCTTGCAGCCTCAGTCTATATGAATCCACCTCTGTCTTCCTCGTGAATATGTTCTCCGCGCTCCAATCTTCATTCTTCTCTTTCATCCAAATGGGGCACCAAAAGACAGTAACCAAATTCGGCACACGATAGGGCATGGTTAATGGTTGTAAAAACTGAATGGAACCAATCAAACTATCCGCTGTTTCTGCTATTATTGTTGTGCCGTGGGCCATACGCTTGCCCGCAATCCTGTGATATATATTTTTTTATCAGTATTCATATAGACGGAAGTAAAAGAAAACAATGTTTTTATTGATAATCTAAAAATCAGTAACTTTTAAATGCATTCAAACGTAAATTTCATGGACAAGTTAATCAGCATTGATCAAGACCTCTCTGGCCCAATGATAAGCCCAATTTTCAACTTTGACTCAATAAATGGTATCACGGTTTTTGGCTAGCTATTCGCAAAACCTTATCTTCATGCAGAAGCATCATTTCTTCCAGCCAACCGTGCACTTAAGAGGCGTTAGACAGGAGATGTACTCTTCTTGGAATCCATTGGTAGTTCATATCCGGGAGTTAAACCTCGGACCCCTCTTTTGAGAAGATAGTTGTCACAGTGGTCACCTTTGCTTTCCGTGAGAGGAGTGGAAAGTTCGAATCCCGTTAGAGACTATCGGTGCTCCTTATTAGTTATCTATCAGAATAGAGAAACTCAATTTCAATTTATCTGAATGAACTGAGGATTGTGCATGAAGATGGAATCTGAAGGATGATCCGTCCAATCTAATATCACCTATCCACCACGACTCACAAAGAACTTTGAATTAAATATGGATAACTTATTTGTTGGCACGCTTTAAATAAGACAATACAGTTGCATAATGCCCCTCATCTTGGACGTATGTTTGTGCCTCATTCTACTCAGGATTAGGGCAAAAGGCTCTTGAGAACTGCCGCTAAGCGATAGCATCCGTGGAAGGTGATTGATGAGCAGCTTCGTTATCAATAGACTCAATGTCACCCTTGTTTTGCTGACTCCACACTCTAAATCCGATGGCTTAGGTTGCCGGTTGTTATGTGAGTGTGTGACCAGTAGACAGAACTCGGGGACTATGAGGCTCATTCGTTCTGGCTTTGTCACACATAATACTGCGAAGTAAAATAACCAATAAGGGATTTCAAATGGGAATTCGTCGTGTATACAGCAAATGAAGCGTGAACTGAAAAGCTACGAAGCACTGGGCAGCTGTTTCGACCTGGTTAGTTCTCATCAGCAGTGCGAATCCATTGATCCAACGGGGGATCGAACCCGGGACCTCATGGGCAGAACGCAAGCGTGATACCCACTCCGCCACCGGTTAGCTTATCAGACCAGTCATAACCCTGAGGCTAGTACTGTCGTGTAAATGGAAAATGAAAAGCGGTCTGATCATCTGCCCGGTGGTCCAGTGGGCAGTGATGATGATGTTGGTTATCATAAAATTACCATCGCATTTAAATATATTCAAACAGTGGAGACTTAACGATCTCCCAAGGAGCGAAACCTACACCCAAGGTCATCAACAGTGCCTGGTGTATGTGAAAAACCGAATGGGCTAATCCAAACATTCACCATCTAACTTGATTAAGTCATTCGCGCTAGGTGATAACCGTCGACCGTGTGGCTCAAGGTTTGAAGTCCTATCCCGAAGAATCACGGTTTGAGTCCTGGCAGGCACATAAAAGTATGAACTGCTGAAGAGTCAAAAATAGGACGAAACAGCTGTCCAGTGCTCTTTGTTGGTTATCACAAATATTTTCATCGCATTTAAATGTTTTATCTATCTTTTAGAATTCTCAAACTGCCAAACTTTTAGATTCGGTATTCACTCGTTTCACGTTTGTTTGTTCCGCAGTGTTTTGTTCTCAATCTTCAATTGTTCCCTTGCTATTTTTCTGGTTTGCGCAAAGAAAACTTCACAGCTCTACTTCGTGGTCACATCTTTACTATTTCTCTGATATAAAGTGCTCCATGATATCTCTTACTCGTATGTGGCTTCATATAAAGGGTTTGGTTCATAGATTTTTTGATAATACATCTTAGTGTGATGAAAATCAGACGGGAAAACCCCCATTGTCACGAGGACCTACCGTTCTGTGATGGAAACCGGCAACCCAACCTTGGGATTTGGAGAGTTCAATCACCTAAGGCCCCGCTAGGTTAGATGTGCTATTAAACCGGACGACAGCAAAGCTACCTACCACCAAAGCTGGGTGGCGGTGGTGCGGATCGAACCTCAGACCATAGCGTCTAAAGCACTGCGCCACCACCATCATGTTAACAATTCATATCCACCCTTTGCTGACCATTCTAAATTTTGTCCTCAGACCAACATGTTTTCTAAATTCCGATTAATTCATCCACGTACTAGCATGTACAAGAGAACCTCTGTATCGTATCTGACGTATCGTGCTCTTTTCATGAGGAACAAGGTTTCCACGGATTATTTGCTAATTTCAAATTGTGAACTCATATTACTGCTAACTTCTACCGTTCACGTCTTGCACCTTTGTGAAACTCATTGATGTTGTGGATGAAAACACTTTTTGAACTACCGGCTCCAGAGGTTTGGAAAAAATCGAATATGCTGGCAAATTCGGCCGGTTTCATTCAACCGTCCGAACAATCGATTCTTTCGCGTAAAGGATCTGTAAGATTAATCGATTTTTAGAATTGATCTCTACATTATATCACGCAAATCTGAAGTGGGGATTGTGTCAGAAACGATAGGTTTAAACTTTGGGTATTGATTCACTGAAATAGAACAGCAATAGTATTTCATATCTTCTGGGGCTGGCAGAGATTATATTTGAAATGTTTTTTGTTGTTGTCGCGAGTAAGATGCACACGGATACGGGAGATGGGATTTTGCTTCGGAACTTTTTCATTTTTACTTCCTTTTATTGAATACCTAATGATACAATTTTCCGCAAGAGGGAGGCGACCAATCAAAGGGCCGCGATACAAGACAGAAGGAGGAGGGGGGAATTCTAGCGACGGTAGTGAGATTCGGACACGCGTACTTCGAGGTGGATAATCTGGTGACGCTACCACCAGGCCATGCATCACCTCCCAGTAAAAATGCTGAATAAATTAATGGTCCACCGTATGTATCGGTGTACCTTTGTCGTTTTCTTTCATCACGAACAGATATTCCCATGACAATGTACAATAATTTCCGCGTTTTGCAAATCAAATCACCTACAACTTGATCACAAAAAATCACTTCACTCGTCAGAAGGTAAGCGTTTGATGCAGTGCTCCGGCTGGTCTTATCGGCTACTGCAAAGAAATGCCTGCATGTTTTCTGTTGAAGATGAACGCAAACTATAGATAGCTGCTCCATTCCGATAGGACAACCAGACGAACGATTCTCAGGTCAGACAAGACCTATCCGATGGTCACAGTCACGCATTAAGCAACCTGAAATAGTTGCGTTTTGTCACCCGGGGCTGGACAAAATCATACTGTTATTCAGTACACGACATGAAGTGAGGATATGTAAACCTTGAACAATTGACCGTATTGTGTGGGACTCCCCAGTCGGACAACTGTGATCGGCCTAATCAATGGTCTGGTAAACTATGACTTTTAATATGTTTGTATTGAAATTATGCAAACCACAGTCGTGTATGTTCGCTGACGAACGTCAATTTGGTGGGTTGATGAAGCTGTGCGATTTACGCGAGACAGCTAAGCTGGACCCAACTCGATAAGCATGCAGGGCGGCGCACTGCTTCGTGAGTGCTACAACTAGAGCACAACTGGTCGTGTAGACCTCATCAGCGCTGCAGACAGCTTCCGAAATCAAACTGATTGTTTCTAAAATCAACCCTAATTATTTTTTAGTTGACTGTCGTAATCGAGGACACTCGTGTATGTCTTCCCGCATTCCAACACTTTGTTCTAGCAACGTTCTCGCAGTCTTCTTTCCCCCATAATCTTTTCTGCCACGATTGATTCATTGGTTTACAAAAAGATATTACCTAATACAGACGGGCACACGGTTTAATCGAGGCTTTAAAAATACAATTTTCACCCTCATAATCGATACCGTTTGAAAGCACATCGTTAAACACTTGTGCCGCAACCACGTGTTCTCAACGGTGCTTCACATGGTTCACTTGTGGTCACGTGATTTGGCTCGGTATATTAACTTGGGAATACCAAGGCGGTTGGCGGGCTTCAAACAATGTTAGTTGAACAATGTGTGACATATTACTGAGCTGCTTTGTGATCACAACACAAGGGAAGGTCGAGTTGTTCGGCGCAATGTGTTTGTGTATACCTGAGTGGTTGGTATATATTAGGTCACCAGTTATTGAGTCATATAGCGAGGAATTGTGGAGGTGACTTCAGCGCTTAGGTGTCACCTATTGGGAAAGAACCATCGGAATTCAGCATCGATATGTTCTGGTGAATCGCATTCGCTGTTTTAGGTACGGTTCGAGCTGTTTTCCTTGAACACGTTTCAACGAAGCACGTTTGGACACAGATGTATATGAAAATATATGTACATAGATATTCATTCAGATATAATGTTGATTTTCCACCCACATGGTCTGCTTGTCATGTAATAATATCAAGCCCTCTGAAGTACCGTGCATCATTTTTGTATGGCTTTGCGTTAAAACTGATTCCA